AAATATTTATTTTTTTCTATAGTGCATCTCATCCAAATCATACAACAGTCTGATACCTATTTTTCCTTTCAAGCACAACTGATCCTCATTTCAGATGCTTTTTCATTCTTTCTGTCCTTCTTTTAACCTTACAGGATGGACAAAGGTACTCACACTTATAAGGACAAAAACATCACTTGGAGTTTATTAAAAGTACAGCTTCCCAGGCCCCAATCCCAGAGCATCTTGAGTGTCTGGGGTGGGACTGGGGGATGCAAAATTTTAACGCCCACCCCACCCCTGTCACTTCTGCTGCAGGTGGTCCTTGAACCATCTTTAGAGGAACACTGCTTAGGACTTGTCCTTTATCTACCGGAAGCAATTTCAGAAAATCCAGGGATAATTAAGAATACAGAAATAGCTCTTCTATAAAATTTCCATATAAAAATAATGGTATTTATTTACAAAGTTTGAGATGCTACAAAATAATACATCGTATCAGGTTAGGAACTCCAATCTAAGAAAGTCTGCGTCAGGCAAGTCAGATGTGGTGTTTGCATATCCCCTTGTTTCGCTTTATTAAACTGCCTAGAGCATGTGGCACCGTGATGTTTCCTTCATGCAGAAAAACAACAACACAGAACTATATTTTCTGGAAATAAAACCTAGGAGCGCATGATCAGAGTAAAGTGTCTCCAAATGAAAAGGTGAACAGGCGGGTGATTTGGGCTCACAGCCTTTTTCTTTTCCGTTTGCAAGTCAAGTGTGAAGGTGGTGAACAAAACAGCCTGAGGAACTCTGTACTGAGCTGGGCCCAGAGCTCGAGCGGCCAGGGTGGGGGCTGGTTGGTAGGTCCTTTTCAGGACACTGGAGGGTTGGACCTGCCGTGGTGCTAATTGAGAAAGAGAGGCAACAGTTCAGAAGGTTTTTGTTTGTTTTTTAGCAGAAATGTATCTGGGTCCTCGGAGACCTTTAGTATGGAAAAAAAAAAATCTGACTTTGGTCGTGAACACGCAAAATCAGGCCGTTTGTCATTAGATGACGCCTGGCATATGAGGATGACACATGGTGACAAAATGATTGGTTGTGAAACCCAAGCACAACCTGGGGAAGTGTGTCCTTGTTGTGTTGAGATAAACAAGCTAATGCGGTAGAGAAGGGTAGTGGGGAACTTCACCTCAAGCCCCTTACCAATGACCAATGGCCAGGGTGCGTGCCAGTCTCTGCCCATGGAGGAGTTTCCTCCCAGATGTGTCTAGACCCGGGGTCTTCTGAGGCCCAAAGCTGACACCACAGCCTCCCGGGCGAGGTCCCACTCCTGGCTGTGTAGCACTTGGTGTGACAGGGTTGATGCTAGTCCCAAAGCCACCTGGGAGGACTGTGGGGGGGCGAGGTTTTCAGGAGGCCATGTGGTCCTCCCGGAGGGGAGTTCTGGTTGGTAGACTCAGCCACACACTCTGAGGGACGGTAGAGGAGTGATGTCTTAGTGAGGCGGAGAGCTGTTCTCTCCTGCTCTGAGGCCCTTGGTGAAGGAGTGTCCTGCTCTGCCTCAGCTACATCGACTCCCAAAGCCGCCATAAGCAAGGAGGCCCAGGTCCGTCCTGCTGGACTAGCAAGGGGTCAGTTATATAGGCCTTTCGTAAAGCAAAGGCCATGTAAGGACAAGTTTACCTCGCCCGAGAACCTCAGCACAGAATACAAATAACTGCCTGTTCCTCCTCCTGTCTCGACACCACGTGCACGGACGGACGGACAGCTGCTGTGACACTTCTGTGCTTGTCAGGGGTTCCCAGGGCGCAACTGCAGGGTCAGTTTTGTGTCCCCCACTTTTTCTTCCTTAGCATTTTGTGCGTGTAGAGGTCTGTGGGAAACTGGATCCCAAAGGTTATCTAAGCGTAACTTTTTAGAGCTGTCTTGGATGTGGAAAGGGGCTATTTCCTGAGAAATATTATAATTTGTGTGAATATTATAATTTCAACTTTTTAAAGGTAATTTTTTAAGCAAATATCAGACTTTTTCCCTTGACTGTTTGGCTAGAGTGGAATTTAAACAAACAGGCACATTTCCGAGGGTCCCTCCCACAGCACGGCGCGGGCCCCTGGCACGCACTCGGGCCTTCGATAAATTCATACGGACGTTCATCAGCGCTGGGGAACCCTTGCTGTGGGTACATGCAAATGGAGAACCTATTTGGGGAAGTGGTTCTTACAGTCTTTAGCTCCACTAGTGCCAGTATATATGCAGAATAAAAGATGGCCTTTATATGTCCAATGTAAAAAGATCTTCATGTATCCAATAACTTGTAAAACTAGAGGAAAACACCTAGAAAAGTACTTTTCCACCTTTCAACTGGAAGATGACAAAGCTAATGAGAACTTCATGGGTTAGGATCTTCTCTTGGTTTGTGGGTACTGCTGGTAGCTAAGTTGGGTTTTCTTTTAAATACTAAAAATGATTTCACAGACTCCAAGATGGATGCTTAAGCCTGGCTGATGTGGCTCAGTGGTGAGCATAGACCCATGACCTGAGGTCATTGGTTTGATTCCCGCTCAGGGCACATGCCCGGGTTGTGGGCTTGATCCCCAGAAGGGGCGTGCAGGAGGCAGCCGATCAATGTGATGCTTCTGTCTCATAGATGTTTCTCTCTATCCCTCTCCTGCCTCTAAAATCAGTAAAACATATTAAAGGAAAAGAACCCAATGCATGCTTAGAACTGGAGCAGTGTGGCCGTTGGGATTCAGGAGACTCCAGGTGCATATGATGGGACAGTGTCGTGGTAAGAAGATATGGAGATGCCTGTCTTTCAATGGTCTGATTCAGGACCAACGTCCCTTTCCCAGGGGGACTTCCTTGGCCACCCCCTACACTAACGCAGCCTCCCCGCACGTCCCATTGCCCTTTTCCACGGCACTACCCGACCTGAATGCTTTCTGTTCTGTACTCACTCACATGCTTACTGAAGGGTGAAACCTTTACACTCACTGCTAAGGCAGCAGTCTTAACGTCCACCTCTCAGAATGTTGGGGTTGGGACACACCTTTCTGGGCCTGAGGGGAGCGAACTAGGTAGGTATTAACAAGGCCCTTGAGGTGAATTATTGATAAAGCTAAGCAGGGTTCGCTCCGAGTGTGGCTACGGTAGAAAGAGCCGAGGTAGTTCCTTCCTTTGCGGGCCTTGCCCCGTGCACACCCGGCCCCACGGTGTCCTGCTGTCCCAGGCGCCTGTTACAACTGTGCTTGAAGCAACTTGGCTGCCTCCAGGACCCAAGGGCCGAGGCTTGTGGTTTAGCCAACAGCCAGCTATGGAGGTCTGCAGGGCTAACTGTGAACACCGCCACCTGAATGAGCGGACCGGGGCTAATGGTGTTGGAGGGCGGACCTGGCATTATTTCCAGGTACAGCAGAGGATGGTTTCCGCTGTACATTTTGCTGAGGGGAGTCACACTTGCATCCTGTTAAAATGGTAAAACCACCGTTTTCACCCCACCACTTCCATACGGAATTAAGTTGAAGGAAACAAAACACATGGTCATCATTTGTCAAGTTTTCCAGGGCAGTGGGCTTTGTGGAGGTGAGAAGTCACTGTCAGCTCGCTGAGGTCCTCCGTGATCCTAAGGCACAGTTTATGTCAATCTTCCTGAAGGTGATTAGATGCACAGTGGGGGGGGGGGGGGGGCCTGGGCAGGTGCCACAACCTAAGGTCCAAGGCCGGCCAGGAGCCCCACACAAGTGATACTGGAGCAAGAATGTGCGGACTGAAGATACTACGCACTTGAAAAGGTAACAGTAAACTGACCCCCAAGGGGGAAAGGCCTCTTAAACTGCCTCAAAATCAAAGGGGGCGCCACCTCTGGGGGATGTCCGTGTGGGCACACACGTGTGCACATAACCCCAAGTGCTGCTCCTAGAATGGCGCCTGGACGTTGCGATCGCTATTTCCTAACGGTTTTTCACTCTGATTTCTATACGAAATTGTGCCTGAGTGCGGAACTTCAGACCCAGACAATCTGTTGGGGGATTTATGGAGTAAAACAGGATTTATCTCAGCCCAGCTTCTGCCAGGGAAGGCATTGCACCAGCCTGTACTGATGCCCTCGGTGGGACTCCACTCGATGTCCTCAGCAGTGACCCCAAACATTACTGAGGACCGGGGGCCATTTCCGGCCAAACACTATACCTATGGCTGGACGGCCAAGGATGGGGCACCAACCATAGTGAGTCTTTGGTTGCTTTTTCTTTTAAACCCATATTTTGTCCATTTAAAGCTGTAGCAGCAGGAGAGAGCGAGAGGAAGCATTTCCCAAAATCTCTAGCAAGGGTTTGCTACTTGGTAGAGGTCAGGTTATGATGGATGGGACTGTCATGAATGTTGATGTACAGATCTTGGGACCTGCAGTACAACACTCTGAGGACTGAAAAGCTAGCTGTGGCCCTTGGCCTCCCCAGGTCCCGGCTGGGCCCCTTCCAGGACAGAGAGGAGAAAGGCAGGGGCTGGTGGAGGCGGCGGCAGCCTCTTCAGGGACAGTGGGGAGGGAGCCTGGTGTTACCTGCCTGCAGCTGACGACCTCCTGGTCTGTGTTTCCTGGAGGCCCGTGAGGACCTGGCTGGGCCTTTGCCGCTTCGGGCACCTCCCATCTGCCCAGCCTAAGAGATGTGCCTGGAACTCAGGCTGAGACCGAATTCTCTAAAAACTGCTCTATCTCTGCACTCTGAGTCCGCACTATAGCTTATTTCTGACAGAATGAGTTTTGTCTGAAAGAAACTTAAGTTCAAGTTGTATGTTTCTGTGTATTCGTTTCTACAGCCTAACCCAGCCCCAGGCCAGCCAGGTCTTCCCGGCTCACTGAAAGCACAGGGCAGAGCTGTGGAAGGCAGCACGAGGCCACTGCACGCACCCCACGGGGCTGAGGAAAGGACTGACCTGGGCTGAGCCCACAGGTGCTCGATGCATAATCTAGGGGCAAATCCAATGGCCAAGACAAACCATAGAGCTAATTTTCTATTATTATTGCTCTTTTCCAGGCCTTGCTGTGAGACTTGGTTGGGGTTTGTCCATGGGGGCAGGTGTCTCCATGCTCCTGTTTGGAGGAGCAGGGACTGGACACGCCAGCCCTGTGTTCCTGGCGGCATCTTTGGCTATGAAACAACACACCAGCTACTGCACAACCAGAACCCCAACCATTCGGAGAGTTCACCACTTTTCGAAATGCGACATCAGGTGAGTCTGAAACGCAGTTTACCCAGGAATAACTCAGTAAGGCCATTTTGATTAATGAAAATGTATAAAAGGTGACATGGACAGGAAAACAGTGCTATCATATTCGGGAAATGACACTTGGTTCATTTTCATCAACTGCACACTGGGTGAAATCACACAATTACTACAGGGAACTGTAAGCAAGCAATCTGGTCAGAGGGATGTGTTCCTTTGTCTTAAATGAAAGCGCTTATGAAATGCATCGCTCTGATTAAAATGATACACTTTCCTTCTCTGTGAAACCCCAGATTTAGAACGCTGGCAAAGGCAGTGCTGGCAAAGTATTTAATGCACGTGGAAAGGCTATTCTACTTTGGCTTCCAGAAGTAGCCCTAAAAAATTCTATGCACCAAATGCATTGGCTAATAGTGATCATTTCCATTTTACTATAAATTATTCTAAATGTCACTTAAGTACTTAAGAGTTAGCGCGCTCCTTTCTAGAAGCTGTCTAAGGCAGCTGATGCGTAAAGCACCTCAACTAGGCTTTCAGCTAGCTCCGCAGTGCAGCTTGTGCCCAGGCCCACCTCCCACACTGCACCGCGCACCCACCGGAGCTTGTCACGCCCATTCGTGCCTCCCACGGAGAGAAGCACAAGAGATCATGGTAGCAATCCTGGTTCTAAGGAGGGTCACGTGGGTGGGGGGAACAGAGAGGTCCCACGTGCGGAAGGTAAATGAGCTTTGTTCATGCAGCCCAGTTCTCCCAGGACTGTCCCCGCTGTCCCCTCAGAAAGCTCGCTCTGTCTGAGAGGTGACCTACTACCCTACTGTCAGTTCTCATTCACAGACGGTAACGTTCATCTCAAGCGTGTCAGCCTGCGTGTAATTCGCAGATTGTGTTTCCCTAGTTTCCACTGGAGACACAGTGCAAACAGAAGCAAGGACTGAAGCAATCATTTCAAAAACAAGAGCTCACACTAAAACACACATGAGCATCAATAGGAAAACGTGGGTTTCGTCCTGTCTTTATTCTGGGGAGGAGGAGTCCTCCTCCTCTTCCTCCTCATCTTCGTCGTTGAGCGAGCAGGGCGTCTCCCCGCGGGACTCGGAGCAGTGAGAGGCCGCGCTGCTGGACTGGTGACTGTTTGGGGCAAGGATCTGCCCCGTTGCTAAGGCCACTTCAGCATCCAAGCAGAACCCCTGGGTTACGCTAGCAAACAATTCAAACACAGGCTCATTAACGTGGCGAACGTTTTCCGCTTCGTAACACACAGGAATGGGGCAGGGGAAAGGAGCCACGGAGGGCTCGGCCTGGGCAGGGGCATGCTGCACTCCGAGAAGGGGCCTTTAGAACCCGGAAACATACGTACCTTGACTGGGATAAGGTGGCACCAGTGGTCAGGTCTAAACTTGAAACTGACTGGGTAGAGTTCAAAAGCAGCCCCTGGTTTAACCATGACGGTCCTGTGGAGATATCTACAGGGAAAAACAAAGACAGAAGGGGTGGGTCCCGCAGTCCTGTGGCTGCTATTGTTCCCGTGGGAAGAGAGGGGACGAGTGAGGGCATCAGCCTGTTCTAATCACAGCCACACAAGTCTCCTGCCCTGGGGAGAAGCCAGATTTCTTCAGCAGAAAAAAGACATTTCTAAATCATAAGGGGGAGTGGGGGAGAGACAGGAAGGCTGACTACAGCAAGAAAGAATTCAAATTCAACCAACTGTGGGCTCTCGTTCTCTTTCCTCAAGACCCCAAGAGGCAGCACTCACTGGACTACCGTGGACGCCTGCTGTCCTCGCCATGGAAGACTCGGGACCCTGACGGTGGTAACAGCTGAAGCCAGCAGTGGGTAGAGAGAGTCACATCGGAAATGTCTCAGGTACGAAGGACAGACACATTTTTGCCAAAACCCCCATTGAATCCATCTTTTCAAGTGCCCCCCTGGGGAACGCAGTGCTACTAGTCATCCAAGACCTATTCTTTCTCCTGGTACCTTCTGCTTAAAACTCAAACTAGCTCTTATTGTGAAAGGCCACGAGCAGTCATGCTTCTAGTGAGGGTGACACAGGCACCGCTTTTTCAGTCTGCATAAATATTCTGGGTCTGTCCTTTCAATGTTGTGTTCTACAAATACATCTTAGTTCTATCATAACCTTGACCAATTCTGACTATAGTTTCACTTGTTTAATGCTTACCTCCTTATCTAGGATGTCAGCTCAGAGAAGGCAGTGACAGGAACATGTAAGATCTAAATGTTACTGAATGAATGATACAGTCTCTTCCAATAGTGAGTTTACAAAGAAGGTGATGTGCAGATTAGAAATACAATTCTAAGAGAAATTCTTAGATTTACATTATAATATTGAATGTACACTCAGAAAAATGTAATTAACCAAAACGAAAGCTTATTATATTTAATCAAAATAATCTTATAATTACTGCGCAAAAAGCAGAAAGCTGTGTGTTAAGATTGGAAACTGCTATCCAGCATTGTCGGGCCAAGTGAGAGGCATCCTGGGAGAAAAAAGTAAGCGAATCTCTACACTGATTTTAGAATGGCCTTGGGAACCGGTTTCTCACAGGCTAACAAGGCAGCTGTGAAAAAAAGAACTTCAGTTCTAAGAACAGCAGACTTTAAATACATTAAATAACAAGTCTGTACACGATAACATTAAAGCCAGAATCCTGATCCGAATAGTAATTAGCATACGTGGAAACTTTGTCAGAGCTCAGCTGGTTGCATAACACAGGACACTTTCTCTTCCCAACAGCTCTGAAAGCCTGCTTCGTTCACATTCTCCTAGAAACCACACAGTGGTTCTCACCATGGTACTCCAGAGCCCTCTGTCCTTTGCACTAAAGGCACACGTTTGTTCTTTTGAACTAACCAGAAAGTCTGTGCCCCAGGCTGCCAATGAGGTCACCAAGAGATAAAAGCCAGAGAGTCTGCCTAATCACCAAGCTTTTACAATGAGAATGGACTAAGTAAAGTTGTGGTGAGTTACTGAAAGCCCTTCCCTTAGACGCTGCTGGGCTGCCAATAAAACAGCCAGTCCTGCCCTGGGAGAGAGCAGGGGGAGATACTGGCTGAGGGGCAATAAGATGGGGTCTCATGAGTGGGTGATGCCAATTTAAGAACTAAATCCAACAGACACTTGTGTTGTGACCGAAGAGCCAAAACCACAAAACAAATAAAAACTACTACTTTGCTTATATCTGATTTAATATACCTTAGCACTTACTAACATGCCTTTAAAAACTGATGTGCGATTCTAGGAGGTAATACAATGAAGGGAACTGCCCAAAGCAAAGGCAGAAGCACTGTTTGCTACATCCAAATTCTAGGTGCAGAACATACCATAATCTTAGTAAGTTAGGACAATCATAAAGATGTCAGAATTAGTGAAACAAAATCTGAATTATATAACATGCAAAACAGTGGTTTTTAGTATATTCAAGCATACTTTTATAGTTCATAATAAAAATGATAAAGAACCCAATCTAAAAAACGAGCAAAGGATCTGAATAGACATTCTCCAAGGAAGATTTATGAATGGCCAGTAAGCACAGGAATAGATGCTTACATCATTAGTCACTAGGGAAATGCAAATCAAATTGACAGTGAGATACCACATCTATTAGGATGGCTGTAATATAAAGGTGGACAACAACAAGTGTTTAGAAGGGTGTGGACAAACAAACTCGCATACATTGCTGGTAGAACTGTAAAATGGTACAACTGCTTTGGAAAATAGTATGGCAGGTCCTCAAAATGTTAAAGTAGGAAAGGGTTCAGAATCAAGGGCGAGCATAGAGTGGACTTGAACTAATTTTCTATGAGAAAAGGAGAAAGGTTTTAACATGTTAGGGTTTGACATATTTAGTCAGGGACAACATGTGAAAGGATCCGTTAACATACCTGTGATATAACCTTCTAACGCCTTTGGCACCAGGGATTTAGCACGTTTCAGATCCTCCAGAGAACATTTGCCTGACTCCAGGCCAAAGGACATTCCCATCCGCTTCAGTACTTCGATGTCGTCATGGATCTCAAAGGTGTTGTCAAAATTGAAGAGATATTCAAACCTGCACCAGGAAACAAAGTTGGTACAGGCTTCCGTGGTGTTGGAGAGGTCTGAGGAGTTTTATACTCTGTATATTACATAAAAGAATGAGGGCCTAAGTTCAGCTACAGCACTAGAAATTATTGATGTTTATAGCAATAAGGGTCATTCTGCTGTATTCAGGAGATGACATCTCAAATACACCACTTTCCCAAGTAACACGTTAAGCGCCCAGCCTGTTTGGTCTCCGGACGGAAAGTATAGTGTCAGTCACCGGTGACTGACTGGGCGCTTAACGTGTCTAACTTTCATGTGACAGACAAAAGAGGTCCATAAACTTTAGCCCTCATTAAGCTATTGCAAATTGGATACAGAAATACTGGTCTAAATCCAATACTTTTCTTTCCTTTTTTTTGTTAATCCTCAAGAGTATATTTTTTCCATTGCCTTTCAAGAGAGAGAGAAAAACAAGGTGAGACACATGGATTGGTTGCCTCTTGAATGAGCCCTAATTGGGGGTGGGGGGGTGGGGGACGGGACCACAAGAACCCACAACCCAGGTATGTGCCCTGGACTGGGAATTGAACCTGAGACCCTTCAGAGTGCGTGCTGGCGCTCTAACCACTTGGCAACACCGGCCAGGGCTAGTTTGGTCAATTTAATGCTCATGGTGGGAGAGCTGCCTGGCTAAGTAAGGGGAAAAGATTGCATCACCAAAGTAAGTGAAAGAAAGGCTGTAGGACCTGCCTTGAACAAACTGCAAGCTTCTTAGAGTCTCCTCCCTCCAGGAAAGAGCATGAGTCAGTTACCACCCAAGAATGGAACCCTTACTAGACCCCAGCCAAGGATGAACAGAAGCCATAAAGCCCTTAGGCCAGTGGTTCTCAACCTTCTGGCCTTTAAATACAGTTCCTCATATTGTGACCGAACCATAAAATTATTTTCGTTGCTACTTCATAACTGTAATGTTGCTACTGTTATGAACCATAATGTAAATATCTGATATGCAGGATGGTCTTAAGCGACCCCTGTGAAAGGGTCGTTCGACCACCAAAGGGGTCGCGACCCACAGGTTGAGAACCACTGCCTTAGGCCAATGACTCCCTGACTCCCTGCAATTCCTTTATGAAAGCATTTAACATGTTTAAATTGCCTGCTTTGAGCCCAAGCCTTTATAGGCATTATCTCATTTAATCCTCACCACAGGGCTAGGAAGTGACGGAGGCCCTGGTATCATCCCCATTTGTTTTCCGGAGAACAGAGCTCTGGAGCAGTTAAACGGGGGAGCCGTCATCCACACCTGGGTCTGTCTCACTCTGCACCCCATGCCCTCAACTGTCTCATGATACTGATCACAGCCTGAAGACCAACGAATTAACTATTTTCATGAAGGTAAAATAAATCTCACATTAATTTGTATTATTGATGGGTGGATAAAGAAAATGTATAGATACAAAAAATATTCAGCCACAAAAAAGAGAAGGAAACGCTGCCACTTGTGACAACATGGATGGACTTTGAGGGCATTATGCTAAGTGAAATAATTCAAAGACAAATACTGAATGATCTCACTTAATGTGGACCCTAAAAAGAATAGATTGGGTGAAGGGGGGAAAATATATGAAGGTGGTCAAAAATATTAACTTTCAATTAGATTAAAAAAGAAAGCAGAGATTGCACCTAGCATTTTCATGTCTATTCATCCATTAATAAACAGAAGCCCACTCAACTAAGAGATAGTAAAACAAAGAGGTAATTGCTTTTATGCCTCATGTTGATCTATTTCCACAATAAACTATGACAGTGAATCACCAGCGAGCCTACCTGTGTCAGACCCTCACTGACGGTCTACCTCGCTGCAGTTCTTGCCCACAATTATGCCACATGCACGTACATACGTGTACATCCTGGTCTGGGTCCAGGCACCACCCTGCATGTGACTGGGGGCTGTGGAGGGCGAGTGATGGAGCACAGGCCAGAAGCTGACAGCTCTCCATGTATGAAAAGGTGTTTCACACGCCCCAAGGAGTCAGCCTTGGAGGACTCAGAGAATGGAGTACACCCCTCTTATTTTGGCAAATGACAGGACTGCGTGAAGAGAAGGCCGCCCTGCAACCTGCCCCCATTCTGCACTCACTTGTCACTGGAGATGCTGCAGTCTATGACTGTTTTCCTGCTCGTGTTGATGATTATAAACGGCAGCTGAATGGTGGAGTTCAGAGCTGGCGGGCCCTGGTTCTGCTGTTCATTTTGCCGATTTCTCTGTACCAGGTTTTTGAAAGCGATTTGCTGTAATGATCGATAAAAAACATAGTCATTTAATATGGATAAGTGAGTTGGAATTAAATGAATAGAGTTTAAAGACACCTTTCACCTGTAGTGAATTAGACATTTAAGAAAAAAGATTAGAAAAATCCAACTCAATAAATATATTTCAAGAGGAAAAATATACATTTAAATGGTGTCTACCATCATCATAATGTAAATAATGGGGCCCATGGTTTGTTACCCATAGAAATGGGACCTTACAAATCTGAGAGCCAGGGGCACCTGCAGCTCCTCGAGAGAGTGATTCAGGGAAAATGACACCGAGGGAGCTTGCTTTCCACTCACCCGCCACAGACGCCCATGAGTTCAGGGTTGAATACATCGCTTACTCTAGCCCAATGATATGCAAAGAGGCAGTGGCATTAAGCATAACTCACCTGTGCCATGTGATGTCAGTGCGCTGACATTAACTGTTAAAAAGAATTAAGGGAACTAGGCTATGGCAAACTATTATTGTTCAGGGTCTTGATTTTCTTTCTAAGACAACTTCATCCCTGTTATTTGATGAAGGAAAGAACAAAACGCTAGGAGGAAATAAGGTATGAAAAAGCAAAAAGTGCCTGTTTCTTGCTGTACTTTGGGTTTCATTTCAATAGAGAGAACTGCTTTTATAAATGTTGACAGGGTGCTCCAGGTTGAAATCTTCTATAAATATTTGGTTTGAGAGACCACGGGGGGGGGGGGGGGAATTTAGGACTTAAGAAAATACAATCATGAGAGCGATCTTGGCTAGCAACATTCTTTCTGATAAACACATAATTACAAGTCTATTGAGAAACAGATTTTAAATATAACATATGCCGAAAATCCAGCTCCAAAGTGTTCCATGACACTCTGAGGAAACCTGAGGAAGGCTCAGCACGGAGCTTAGGGACCATGAGTTGACAGGGAACTCCTGCAGCTAACTGTGCAGGGACGGGGACTGAGAGAGGGAGCGAGGGGAAGCAGGTGCAGGGCAGGAGCTAAGACACGAGGGCCCGGCCGGCCAGGTCTACAAGAAGGCAGGATGCTGCAGGGAACAGCTGCAGGAAAAGGAATCAAGGATCAGCTTTTTTAAAGCTGCAACAGTCTCTTCAAACAAAATCTTATTTGGACATACACTATGAAAAACATAAAATGTGGCCTCCAGCGGTAGGTTCTATGGGGCTCATTCAGTGTGAAAAGCGGACACAGAACACAGAAAAGAAGAAACGGCCCAGTGTCTGGGCTCCCTGTTCCACCTGCTGCCACTCCCCTGCCCCGGCCCTGCTTCCCGCTCAGATCAGCACAGACCTTCGGAAGGGCGACCGGTCGTCTCCTGCCCCTCCGATTTATTCACGAATGTGAGAGGAAAACACAAACAAACATAAGCATCTACAAAGTACAACACAAAAACCTGGACTATTCAGGAGTACTTAACATTCTATCCTTCAGACAAAGTGACTACTTTAGGGGGAAAACCTGGTAACTCCTTGGTATCTTTATTTCTGAAAAGTAAATTTCACCAAAAATTAAATGACTTATAGTTGTTCAAATCAAAGTTGATTTTAGGATTGTTTGAAAACTGTTCAAATAAAGAAAATTTCAGATAAAAGCAAAGGCATAAAGGCATGCATTCCCTCCTAGGAACACACCTGTGCCATTCCTTCCCCCTCTCCTTCCCCTACAGCAGCGGTTCTCAACCTGTGGGTCGCGACCCTTTGGCGGTCGAACGACCCTTTCACAGGGGTCGCCTAAGACCATCCTGCATATCAGATATTTACATTACGATTCATAACAGTAGCAACATTACAGTTATGAAGTAGCAACGAAAATAATTTTATGGTTGGGTCACAATATGAGGAACTGTATTTAAAGGGCCAGAAGGTTGAGAACCACTGCCCTACAGGCACGTGTATCTCCTCAACCCCTACACGAGGTTTGCAATCAGTGGAACAATGGGCAGTGGCAGCTCGTCCCAGGCTAACCCCATAACCTGTGCCCAAGGCCCCATTTTCTCTGACTTCCCAGTGAGCCAAAGCAGCCTAGCTGAGGCTCTCCTATTGCTTCTTCCATGCCCTTCCTGGTTTCAGTCCTAAGTGTGTTTTTGCTGTGGCTAATAAATTCTTGCTTGCTTTGCTGCAATGAAAAACAGCAAAAGCAAAAGTCAGGGGACTCATTTTACAAGTTTTGGGCTGGATTGAATATAGTTTCACTGTATGGCTCAAAGTGAATTTTTACACCAACTGCAATTACCAAAAATAGAAAAAACAAGCTATCTACCTTGTGATTTCACCTCCCATAACTTCAAACAAAGGCTCTCTATTATATTTTTTTAAATCATCCAAATTCTAGGCAATTATCCAAAAACATATACAGATCCTTATTACACTATAAATTTTAATTTTCTTTTACACATAAATGCATTTTAAGGTTTGGTATTTTTACAAAGCTTACTGAGTATTGCATGTTATTCTGTTACTTACAGATAATGAGTATTACAGGTGGATTTAATTATTTTACTCAATGTGCCCAAAATTTAACTAGCTTTACTTCTTAGTATTCCACACACACACACACACACACACACACACACACACACACTCCGAATAGTTTCTGTTCAGAATAAAGATAAGTGTCAAAGTAAACTGTTGTATAAAATGTCACCCACAGGGCAGGTGAGGGCTGTGGGGCCCTGATGATGGTGAGAGATGGAACCAGCTTAGAGACAGACCATGGATGGCAGTGGGCTCGCCTGTGGGAGGCTGCCCGACTGTGGTCCCAGACACTCCCTCAAAGGCACCCAGAGTAGGAAACAAGCAAGTAAGCGGAGAAGCAGACACAGGCAGGGCAGGTACGAAAGGCATCCCAGCATCTTTACCTGCAGGAGAAGCTCTTGCAGCTGGGCCCGCTTCTGCTTTATCCGTTCTATCCGCCTCTGCTTCTCTATCTTTGAAACACAGGTCACAAAATAACATGAAGATGTGTAGGGTATAAAGCATTGCTCATTTTCAGGTCCCAATTCTGAGATATCAAGAATTTTCTTTAGAGAGATGCAAACCAACATCAATAAAGGCAAGCCACACCTCTTTGCGGGTAGGGGTTGGGGTAAGCGAGCAGACAGTTCAGCAGAATTGCAGCAGCTGCTATCAGTAATGAAACCGTCTGCTTAAGGAATGCCTGGTGTGCAGGACTCATTGCTATTTACCACTTAAGTTCAACAGTGAGAGCTAACACTTAGGACACTTACTCTATGTGCCAGCACCCAGCCCAGCACTCCCCACACATTACCTCAGTTCCTCTTCTCAAGGCCCTATGTATGTCCTTATCCACTCGCATGTAAGGAAATGGAGGCACAGAGGGTAAGTAACTGCCCAAGGGCACACTGCTTAGTGCTTGGCAAGAACCCCAGCCATCTGGTTCCAGAGACCCTAATATTAACTGCTTTGCTATATTATGCTCACCCTCCCCACCCACCAAGAATGAGGTAAGATCTCAGTCTGACTTTTATTTTTACTTTCAATTAATTGATTTGCTTTTTTTTTTTAAATATATTTTATTGATTTTTTACAGAGAGGAAGGGAGAGAGATAGAGAGTTAGAAACATCGATGAGAGAGAAACATCGATCAGCTGCCTCCTGCACATCTCCCACTGGGGATGTGCCCGCAACCCAGGTACACGCCCCTGACCGGAATCGAACCTGGGACCTTTCAGTCCGCAGGCCGACGCTCTATCCACCGAGCCAAACCAGTTTTGGCGTGATTTGCTTTTTTTTTTAAAAAAAGATCTCACATGGCTGATTGCCGGCTCAAAGAATACACATATAGTCCTCTCCAAAAATGTTTTACCAATTTGCACTCTCATTAGTAACAGTATTTCCCAATAACCTGGTCAGTACTAACACTCATTCCATACTTGGCCCTGGTCACATAGAAGTTAACTTTTAATCCTATAGTATCTTGTATCATTTCCTGTTTCTCATGTGTAAATATCACTTTCCTGATAAGAGAAATTATGTCAGATTTCTCTCTCTCCTTTTCCTTCTTTCTCCTTCCTTCCTTTTCTTCTTTTATTTTAGTTTATTATTGACGTAAAATTGGTATACTGTATTTTAACTGACTTAAATAAGCACAGCTGGCCTGAGCCAATTTGGCTCAGTGGATAGAGCGTTGACCTGTGGACTCAAGGGTCCCAGGTTCTATTCTGGTCCAGGGCACATGCCCGGGTTGTGGGCTCGATCCCCAGTAGGGAGCATGTAGGAGGCAGCCAATCAATGATTCTCTCTCATCGTTGATGTTCTATCTCTCTCTCCCTCTCCCTTATTCTCTAAAATAAAAAATGTATTAAAAAAAAAAAGCACAGCTGCTAATACAGGTAGCTTATATATATTCAATATACAATTCAATTCCTGTCTGTAGTAAGAAGCATGCTAATGGGATAAATTTCCCAGCTTCAAAGGACTGTTATTTTCCTCATTCTTACAACTTCCTGGAAAACAGATCTTAGGGTTTGATTTTCCTTGCAATGAGTTCCTGTCTCTTTGGGCAAAAAGTCAATGACATCAAATGAGACATTTTTCTTGTCTACTCCAAAAGAATTATTTCTTATTTGCTCCCCATCCACTCTAGTCTGTACCAGAAATTTCCTAACTTTAGGCTGACTGTGAAATCAGTGTGGCCTTCAACATTTGAAAAGATGTTGTAGGAGTTCCGCCCTGTACCTGAAGCGTGACAGGTCCCCCCACCTGCCCCTCCTGCACACACAAGTTGTACCAACTCTACCTCTAGAACACTTCTCCAAACTCACTGCCACTGCCGTAATGAATGCAGGCCACCTCCAATCTCCCCTCCTCATCTTCCTGTCTGTCCAACTTCCAACCCTCTAGTGGAGTGATCCTTCAGAATACATCCCATCAGCCCTCCTCTTTATAATTCTTCAATAGCTTCCCCTAGTTTGTAGGACCAGGTCCCAACAGCTTAGGACTTTCTCCTTGCCTGTACTCTGGCCACACCCCGCTGTGGGCACGCTTTCCGATGCCTGCCTCGGCCCATGCTGGCCTCTGCCTGGAAGGCCCTCCCTGCTTTAAACCACTTGGCAAACTCCTACTCCTCCCTCATGACTGAGCTCAGGGATTTTTTTCTTGTAAAGCCCTCCCTTATCTCCCAGAAAATCTGTCCATACTTCTTTCATAGTAGTAATCACATTTTTGGTAACACTTTTTACATTTCTCCTCTTAATCAGAATGAAAGCTCCTTGGAGTCAGAGATTTTTGTCTTGTACAATCTTTGATTAAGCACATAGCTAGCAGATGCTAATAGATTTTTGTTATCAGCTTAATATTACCAGTAATTACAATGATGCTCAACTTCCACTCTATCAAAAGGAGAAGAGGAGGGCATTTCCACTGCCCCGTATAAATAAAGTTATAATTTCTGATAAATGTCTGGTTTCTCCCTCCATCCACAAGTATACTGATACCAAATCATGAGAAAAACATGAAATCAACCACATTTATCTCCATAAGCTACCTGTCATCTCACTTTATTCCCTTTATGGCCATGACAATAAAAATATGTCAGATTTGGAAACTATGTCAAGGCACATGTTCATTTAGGAAAGATTTCCTATAATAATAAAGTTAACAGAATAAAAAATGTTTTTGTACACATCATGTCCAAATTCATGTTACTGCTACACATTTGATCTATTCTGATAAAGATACGAATGAAATACCATTCTGTTGCCACTGATTCCAGAGTTAAAGGTAAAAGCTTAAACATAAGAAACAAATGGACAGCTTCACCCATATTTTGGGGTCCATAAAGCAAACATTATATCAAAACTGAGATAGTATTTCTGTTACATGAATCACCGAAATGTTATTGTTAGAGTGCTCAGAATTGAATTAGAATAAAATAAAGATCTTCTCTAAGAAACAGTAAAAATCAAGCCATCTAATTTCTATGCCCCTCGTTTCATCAGGACACCAGTCAGACTACATATCTCTAAAGTTTCTTCCAGTTCTAAAACTCTATGTAGAAGAATCTATTTTTTAAAAAGACATAGTATACATAATTAGAAATATTTTATTAGTATGTAACCACATTTCTAAATTAAAATGCCTCTGATGTAAAACAAAGCAAACCACTTTGTATAATCAGATTTTCCTTTCTTACCTCCAGGTTTTGACACTCCTGAGCAGAATTGGTAGGCAGGCCAATCCACTTGATTTCTTTTTTTTCTTTTGATATTATGTTCATTGCCATTAGCACATTTAAAGCATCATAAACTCTTCGCCTAATGTTCTTCTGGTCATAAGCCTGCTAAAAAATACATTTATTAAGTGATAAAAGTTAAGAGTTAAGATAAGTCACAGATATTAAAATATTTAATTAATAATCTATAATGCCTAATATGCTAAGTGTCCGACCAATCGATCGACTGGTCAACTGCTCGAACAGTCGCTATGGAGCACACTGACTACCAGGGGGCTGACGCTCTGACCAGTAGGTTAGCTTGCTGTTGGGGTCCGGCCGATTGGGACTGGGCGACATGTGCTGGACACACCCTGGAGACCTCCCGTGGTCCCTCCCCAGCTGGCTGGCCCCGATCGGGACTGGGAGAGATGGCCCCGATCGGCCCCGATCAACGGCCAGGCCAAGGGACCCCACCAGTGCACAAATTCGTGCACGGGCCTCTAGTTTTATAACATCTTCAAAGTGCTGAAAAATTCTATACCCACTGAAACTATCCTTCAAAAGTAAAGAAAAATAAAGGCACTTTTAAACAATCTAAAACATAGAACAATTAAAGAAAGTAAAGATTATGTTACCTACAGATCTAAATTTGAAAATGCTAAAAGGCCTTCTTCAGGGAGAAGAAAGATGATGTAACTGAGACAGAGCATGGAAAAGTAGGATGGAATGAAGACCAACTCAAAAGGAAAATCTCAGCCGAAACCGGTTTGGCTCAGTGGATAGAGCGTCGGCCTTCGGACTGAAAGGTCCCAGGTTCGATTCCGGTCAAGGGCATGTACCTGGGTTGCGGGCACATCCCCAGTAGGAGATGTGCAGGAGGCAGCAGATCGATGTTTCTCTCTCATCGATGTTTCTAACTCTCTATCTCTCTCCCTTCCTCTCTGTAAAAATTCAATAAAATATATTTTTTTAAAAAAAAGGAAAATCTCAATTAACATTCTCTGTATAAAACAAGAATGGCCCGGCCAGTGTGGCCTGAGCGTTGACCTATGAACCAGGAGGTCACGGTTTGATTCCCATTCAGGGCATATGCCCAGATTATGAGCTCAATCCCCAGTGTGGGGCATGCAGGAGGTAGCCAATCAATGATTCCCTCTCATCATTGATGTTTCTATTTCTCTCTCCCTCTCCCTCTCTGAAATCAATATAAATATTTTTTTAAAAATTAAATAAAACAAGAATGTCTTTTTGAAGCTAGAATATATATAGAACTAATATACATGACAGCAATAGTATATATAGCAGAAAGGGGTAATGAAGTTAATGTGAGCTAAGGCCTTGCATTGTCTGGGAGGATATTTGACTTTGAAAAGTCAAGAATGCATATCTTTTTTAAAAAAAATATATTTCTTTATTGATTTTAGAGAGGAAGGGAGAAGAAGAGAGAAACATCAATGAGCGAGAATCATTGATCGGCTGCCTCTTGCACGCCCCAAACTGGGGATCGAGCCTGCAACCCAGGCATGTGCCCTTGGCCAGAATCAAACCTGGGACCCTTCAGTCCGCAGGCTGATGCTCTATCCATTGAGCCAAGCCGGCTAGGGCAAGGATGCATGTTTTAAGCTCTAGGTAAACAGTGCATCTCAAAATGTGGTCCATGGACTAGTACTAATCCACATACAGTCCTCGGGTTACGTCGGACTCGACGTACGTCGTTTCGTGGTTACGTCGCCATCTCCCATTTATTTATAAAAAAAAAAAAAGTTCCGTCATTTCCACATATGTACATATGTGCTTTATGTTTTTTATTATTTATTTACCACAGTAAAGGTCAGGAATTACCTTTCTTTTAAATGTTTTTTACTGTTTCACTTCATTACTGCTGTGAATATGCTCCATGTGAGTGACGTAGGTGCTTATGTAGGTGGGTTCCGACTTACGGTGAAAATCGAGTTACCTCGGATTATGGATCTCCAACGTGACCCGAGGACCTACTGTACTCTTACTAGCTTACAATGAAAACAGGGAACTTGCACCCAAATGCCAATCACATAGATCACTAACTAAAGAACAGTATTTAATTCAGCTGACTTTTTTGAGGAGGGTGGGAAGGGGTAGGTAGCAAGACTTTCTCAATGAAGAAAACTGTGTTAACTTGCATTGTGGAAAAAGCCCTTTATCTTATTGTGTATGGGTAGATCCTAAGAACAAAATCCAATCAATCAAATGCTCTGATTATAAAGGATGGTGGAGAACACTGAATCCACTTAAAGGTAGAACTAAACTTAAATAAAGGAGATTTGCCAGGAGAGCGTGGCTCAATGGCGGAGCATTGACCTATGAACCAGGAGGTCACAGTTCAATTCCCAGTTGGGGCACATGCCCACATTGTGGGCTCGATCCCCAGTGTGGGGCATGCAGGAGGCAGCCCATCAATGACTCTCTCATCATTGATGTTTCTATCTCTCTCTCCCTCTCCCTCTCTGAAATCAATATTTTTTAAAAATAATAATAAATGGGAGGTTTAAGTTCTAGAACTGAATGTAAATAGAAATTCTGACACTGTAGAAATGATAACATAACAAATATCAGTATGCTCCCTCGGGAATCCCCAAAGTTATATTTTAAAAAATATTTGTTCATCTGTATGTTGAAATAAATAATAAAAGAATTCTTTCCAAAAACAAAAAATCAACCAAAAATTCTCAACAGACAATATGAAACCCTCAAGTAAAGGAGGAATTGGGAAACCCTTAGCTTGTCTGAGTCCTCATATCGATGACACAGATAACCCAAAGAGGTACACTGTTGCATCACTCATCACAGTCAATGTCAAGTGCATGATCTACCTACCGAATCAGCTGCCAAATGGTTATTTGAATTGGTGAACTCTGATACCAGCTCATCAGCTACTTCATTATATGACGTTGTGCCTTTCCGCTGAACTTTCTCACACACTTTCATTGAAAAATGTCTCAAGCCTTTTCCATTTTTATCTCCTTTTTTGCTTCGTTTACTAAAAGAGAAAAACAAATATTTATACTCCATCATACTTAGAGACTTCCTTTACAAAAGTATAACATAATGAAAAGACAGTAATTTGATTTTTGTTTCAAGTGGTAAGGTTTAATTGAGTTAGAGATGAGGAAATGTTTTAAATTTAATTTTTACCTTAAAAGCCTAATAAAATATAAAGCTAGAGTGGTTCTCTTATGTACATCATCTATTTCTTCAACAAATATTTATTGACCAGTTATTTACTATTATGTGTCAGGCACTATTCTACATACTGGGAATAAATCCATGAGGAGAACAGATAAAAACTCTGCCCTCGTAGTTCATATATGGTCCGTAATTACCTAATTATTTCAAGTTTGGTTAATGCCTAGGCCTAAACTTTGATAACTTAATCCAGGGGTCCTCAAACTACGGCCCGCGGGCCACATGCAAATACAAATATTGTATTTGTTCCCGTTTTGTTTTTTTATTTCAAAATAAGATATGTGCAGTGTGCATAGGAATTTGTTCATAGTTTTTTTTTAAACTATAGTCCGGCCCTCCAACGGTCTGAGGGACAGTGAACTGGCCCCCTGTTTAAAAAGTTTGAGGACCCCTGACTTAATAATTAAATTTTCAGGGGTTCAGTTTAGTTCTACTAAATTGAGTGGTTTAGTTCTGCTAATCTGAGTGCCAACTATATGCCCAGATTATAAAAGACATGTCAATTTAATATTTAATATTCAAACAGACTACACACACACACACACACACACACACACACACCAGTTATGGGGGAGTCTAGGAAGATAGCAAGACAGCAGCATAGTTTTCAAACTCTCCAAATCCCCAGATAAAAACAGATAGAGCAACTAGACCTCATGACAATATTTACAACAAAATGCAAACCTCATGACAATATTTTCAACAAAACTAGATGACAAGGTATCCTCAACAAACCTCAGAACACAATAGCAATGGCCAAAGGCCCACACGGTAGTGAGCAGGATAAGAAATACTCAATGGGGCTGCATTTAATGGAAATCAGAACAGTAATCCCAAAATAGCCAATACGAATTTACTAGAAAGCACAGCAGGCCAATTTGAGAGCAGCAGTTGAAACGAGGAGTTTCACCCTCTTCAATACCAGCTGTGTGCAAGGAACTAAAGAGGTCACAATAATCTATTTTGCATTAACTCCCACAACTGATATTGAAGAGGAAATGACTAATATTGAAGAGAGGCAAAGAATATACTGACAATAGAGTATCTGAAAAAAAATAAAAGGGAACAGATTCTAAACATTAAATGCTATAATTGAAGGAAGTGTTCATAAAATACAGTCAAACCTCGTTTCTCGAACATCTCCCATCTCCACCAAGTTGCTGGCAGAAAACATATCTAGGTTTTGGAACCAAACTTCGGTTTTCGAACTGACAACCCTTTCAAGCTGATACCTCAGCATGACAAAAAGAGACTCTCAGGCAACAAAGGAGAGAATGCTTTTGTTGCTGGGAAAATCACCAGAAGAGCATAATTTTAAAACATAAAGAGGCCATCAAGAGTGCTAATGTTGCTAAAGGGGTGAAAGAAACAATGATCACAGGCAACTGAAGAGGCAGAAAAACTTGATTTGGATAAACGAAAAGCAGTTTATTAGTGACTGCCATTTCAGAGGCAGTGATATATAAACAAGCAAAGATGCTGCATACTGAGCTGAAAGAGACCCCGGGAGTGAGTGCTGAAAGTGAGTCCTTTAAGGCTAGTAGGGGGTGGTTTTATTTTATTTAAGTCTTTATCCAGTTCTTAACTAGGACCTCATGACTGTTCTATAGGCACTCCAGTCCTTCCTAACATGGCCACCAAGGTGAACTTTCCACACGAAACCGGTCATGTCCCTATTCTGTTTATGTCACTGTTCTAAGTCATTTTATTTTGGAAAAGAATCCACCAATTCCCATTTGCTGTGTACATTTCCACACAAAACCCACTCTAGGCTGATTTGTCCTTAGTTTGGTGCATGGAGATACAAATGGCTAGTCACACATAAGTTAGTATCATTCGTACAAGTCAGGTGACAAAAGTAAATAAGAGTTGCTAAAAATAGGAACACAGGAGTTATTTTGAAAAAAATATGTTGTGTATGGGGTTTTTAATTTATGCTAAGAACTGGATAATGGCTGAAAGTAAATAAAATTCTCAACTCAGTATTTATATACTTTTTAAAAGCCAGCAATAAAGCATGGTGTTGTTTTTCATGTAACTCTAGTATTTTTAAAAAGGGAGCAATAAAATAATCATAGGGTAGTTTGGCTAATTTGTCCTCTAGTCATACATGGATAATATTTAAAGAAAGAACTAAACACAGTCCTTAAATAGGAACAGCTAGATTTTAAGTGCTAAAGAACATACTCCTGAAACATAAATACAAGACTACATATAAAAGTTTTATAAGATTAGTTCAGTGTATGCATTGATAATAAACTTGAGAACTGTGGTTAAATATCAACATTGGTATCTACACTAATAAAAGACAAACATGCAAATTGACCATATCTTCACTATGCTTTAAGCCACGCCCACCAGCCAATCACTATATAGTTTAAGTTTAAAAAATTTGGCTCTCAAAAGAAATTTCAATCATTGTACTGTTAATATTTGGCTCTGTTAACTAATGAGTTTGCCGGCCACTGCTCTAGGTGTTATTCCTCTTCATGAGCTCCAGAATCTTCATAACCAATACAAAACTGAAGGGTACTACTCAACATTGGCTGAATCAAGAAACTACATTTGTTCTCTGAAGGTTGTTAAAGCATTGTGCCAAAAACAACAACAACCAATCAATGTCTACATTAAAAGTCAATAGTAGTGAGAATAGTCAACACCTGCAGTACACCGGTAGGAGATTTGGACCTGGTAACCCTTCTATAAAAACTTCTTTGAAAATCAAATGAACAATGCCTCTAGTGAAAGAACATTAAAAGGTAAAAGGCTATATAAAGAACTCAATTCAACAACAACAAAAAAAAATCAACCCAATTAAAAAATGAGCAGAGGAATTGAAAAGACATTTCTACAAAAAAAAGATATGAATGATCAATAAGCACATGAAAATATGCTCAACATTACTAACCATTAGGGAAATGCAAATCAAAACAATAATGAGATATCACTCACACCCATTAGGATGGCTCTTAACAAAAACAAAAACAAGACATATTGTGAGGATATGGAGAAACTGGAACCCTTGTGCATTGCTGTGAGAATGTATAATGGGTGTAGAAAATATTATGGCAATTCCTCAAAAATTTAAACATAGAAAGAAGTACCAACCCTAGCCAGTTTGGCTCAGTGAATAGAGCGTTGGTCTGTGGACTTAAGGGTCCCAGGTTCGATTCTGGTCAAGGGCACATGCCCAGGTTGTGGGTTAGATCCGCAATAGGGGACATGCAGGAGGCAGCCAATCAATGATTCTCATAATTGATGTTTCTATCTCTCTTTCCCTTGCCCTTCCTCTCTGAAAACAATAATATATATTTAAAATAATAATAAAATAAACATAGAAGTACCATATGATCCAGCAATTCTACTTCTGGGTACATAGCAAAAGAATTGAAAGCAGGGACTCCAACAGATATCTGTACATCCATGATCATAGCAGCAATATTCAATAGCCAAAAGGTGAAAACAACTCAAACATCCATCAACAGATGAATAAAAAAAACAAACATATAATGAATGCAGTATTATTCAGCCTTAAAAGAGAATGAAATTCTGATACATACTACAACATGAATGAACCTTGAAGACCTGATATGTGAAATAAGCCAAGTATGAAAAGGTAAATGCTATATGATTCCTTTTATATGAGATACCTAGAACAGTTAAATTCATAGACAGAAAGTAAAACTTTGGCTACTGAGCCAGAGGAAGTGGGGAGTTATTGCTTAATGCGTACAGAGTTTCAGTATGGGGTGGTCAAAAAAAGTTCTGGAGATGGGTAGTGGTAATAGTTGTACAATAATTTATTTTTTCAGTGGTTCTTTAGGTTTTGAACTTATTTATTTATGTTTTGTCTTTTATGCTTAAATGTTGATGGTTTAGTGGCTTCATTAGCCAGTCTATCTCTGTAAAATGAGATGATATGGTTTTAGCATTTCATCATTAATTATGGATAAAAAAACAAACTCATTGTGCCCTTGACCGGAATTGAACCCAGGACCCTCCAGTCTGCAGACCGACGCTCTATCCAGTAAGCCAAACCAGCTAGGGCTATTCTTTAAGTCACTTCCATGGTCACATCTAGTTTATTACTACTACTGCCACATTCAGAAAAGGTGTGCCTTTTCCCGACAAAACTCTTATAACTCAATAATAAAATGACAACCCAAAGGATCTGATCATACGTTGGTCAAAGAAGATATACAAATGGTCAATAAGCACATGAAAAGATGCTCAACATCATCAGCCATTAGGGATATAAAAAATCAAAACCCTAATAAGATAATTTCACATCCACAAGGTTGTGAAATAAATGAAACAGATAAGTGCTGGCAATGATGTACAGAAACTGGAAATTTTTGTTGGTGAAAACAGCCACTCTGGAAAATAGTCTGGCAGATATTCAAAAGGCCAGAGAATTACCATATGACCCAGCAATTCCATTCCATACAAGAGAAATGAATATCGATGCTAGAGAAACACACTGATTGGTTGCCTCTTGAAGCGCCCCGACCAGGCCCTGGACTGGGGAGGAGTGTGCAACTGAGGTACATGCCTTTGACCAAAATCGAAGCGGGGACCCTTTGGTCTGCAGGCCGATGCTCTATCCATTGAGCCAAACCGGCTAGGGCTCCTTTTATTTTTTATATGAGAATGTCAATAGGATTTCAGGCATTGTGGTGCAAACATGGTGTTCAGTTACCATCTTAAACTGGAATCTCCCTATCTAAATTTTAAATAAAGAGTTCACACACTTCCTTAGAACCCGAGCTCTTTGAAACACCAACACCCCCTTTCTAAATTACACCAAATTTCACCACAGGATGTAGAATACGTAGGAAGCATTCCTTACCAAATAAAACCAAATTGAGAAAGAAAAAAAAAAACTAATATAGTATACTTTGAAAAGCATGTTACATTTTACTAATAATTTCATTTCAAGTATTCAAATAAATTGTGCCCAAAGAATAAAAGGAAAAGTATCTATGCTCTGGCCGGGTAGCTCAGTTGGTTGGAGCATGGTCCCGATACACCAAGGTTGTGGGTTCCATCCCTGATCAGGGCACATGCAAGAGTCAACCAATGAAGGCATCAGTGAGTGGAATAACAGGTTGATGTTTGTCGCTCCTTCCCTTCTTATCTTTCTCTAAAATTAATAAATTAAAAAGGAAAAAGTTATTTATCTTTTTAGGCACTTAACTGGAATCCATAACCACTATCTTTTTATAATTTCCAATAATTTATTTTTATTTTAAAAAGTAATATAAAACTAAAATTTGTAGTATAAAACAGTATATGCCAGGATAATTTTATTATATCTAATAAAAACTTTATTTCTCATTAAAATGAGTCAACCAGAACATTTACATCAACAAGATAATTTAGTAAATTGATAAAATAATTTAGAAAAAACACACACTCATGTTCCTGTAAGTATGCATCCATTGTGTATGTGTTGGGGGTGGGGATGGGAATTTGAGATGGGAACTAAATGTTTATTCCTTATGGACCTTCTCTTCCTCCTGGGGTATGTCATCTAGGCCTGACCATTTACATGCGGATGCACTACTTATAAAATAGACTTAATGATATTAATCATTTAGATAACTAATAAACTTTTTGAACTTCGTTGGTCTAAAACAAAATTCAATCCCTCCCCAAACCTACTCCTAGCAACAATAAATGTAAATGGCATCAATATTCACCCAGCTGTTCGGGCAAAACATCCAAGAGTCATCCTTTATTGCCCCCTTTCCTTCATTCTATCAATAAATCCTGTTGGTTCTACCTCCAAAATTAATTCATTTTTCCCCCATCTCCACTGCCAAGCCACAGCCCCTGCATTAGCTTTGAACTGATTTCCCAGCTTCTGTTCAGGTCTCCTTAGAATCCATTTCCTGCTCACCAGCCAGTGTAAATTAGCATGTCATTTCCCTTCTTAAAATAAAAATAAATTCCTTACTGAGACCTATAAGGCTTTTCATGATCTGACCCCTGCCTACTTCTTCACCCTCATCTCGTATCACTTTGCCTTTCTTACTATGTCCAAGCCACTCTGCTTCCCCAAATACTCCAGCCTGGTTCCTCATTTAGCTCTGCATTTGCCATGCATTCTGCCCTGAATCCCTGGCTCCCCACCACAACCAGGCTAGCTACATGCCTGACTTCTTTGCATTCAAATGTTACCTCCTTAGAGAGGCCTGCTCTAAGACAGCCACCACCCTGCCAATAATCCACAAAGCCCCTTCTTATTTTTTTTCATGCCACCTATCACAGTCTAAAATGATATCTGTTTATTGAACACCCCCATATCAACTCTTTAAGGGCAGAGACTTCTCTCTTGTTTATTATTCTCTCCAATGCCTAGAACACAGCAATACTTAACAGATCTCCAACATATTTGTTGCATGAACAACCCCATAAACATCACTGAAGTACTAGTACAAATGTTCACTATACAGATTTTGATTATTATTAGTGTATTATAGTTTAAATTATATTGGTTTATTATAAATAAACATTTTAACTGAATTCCAACAGAAAAAAGATATTAAGAACTTTCCTCCCCCAGTAGAAGTCCTGAAGCGAAAGCAGACCTATTTGGGAAAGAGATTTAGGAGACACCATCAGATTCTGTCCAAAGATAAAAAGAGAAAGTGAACAAACATCTTCCAGGATCAAAACCCCAGGCAAGACCAGAAAGAGGGTTTTCATAGCTCCTTCTGCAAGCTCTGTGCAAAGAACTCCAGTGGATGAGAATACAGGGAAAAACTAAAGAGAATATCTCAATTGATCCTTCACCCACCAAACAAGATTTCTTCAGAAACTGACTTGCTTCTTAACCAAGAAAAACAGTTGTGTAAAACAGAGCTAAAATTGTACTGTCAAGTAATAAGATGAGGATAGGAAGCTTGTATAGCCCAGCCGGCGTGGCTCAGTGGTTGAGCATCAAACCCGGAGGTCACGGGGTTTGATTTCTGGTCAGGGCACATGCCCAGGTTGCAGGCTTGATCCCCAGTGTGGGGCATGTGGGGGGCGGCCAATCAATGATTCTCTCTCATCACTGATGTTTCTATCTCTTTCTCTCCCTCTCCTTTCCTCTCTGAGATCAATAAAAATATATTTTGAAAAAAGAAGCTTGTATATGTCTACATATATTGATGTATAAATCTCTGAGGAAAACCAATATACTAGTAAATATTTACATACCATACTAAATCAACATATGAGACATGGAGAGATAAAGATTAGTCTATGGTTGAGAGCTGGCTTTTTTAACCTAAACACTTGGGAGGAGGGAAACAAAAACTTTTCACAGCGTTATAGAAAAATACAATAAATCTGGAGGAAAATAAACATTTGTAAGAACAACAATAAAAACCACATGTAGTAATGTTTGTGGTTATATTTAAAAATAAAAGAGAATAATAGCCAACCCTCACCCCCAAAAAAGCCACTGAACCCCGATGCAGAAAAGGAAAGTTGAATCAGTGGTTACACCCACAAATTTAATCTGGCACTTTTAATGTGATCTTTAGAGATCTTTTTCTTATGAAGGAGAAAATGAAGGGAATCTTACTGTTTATATACTGTTTGTAGTACACAGGTGCCACCAATCGTAACTAACGACAACCCCTATTTTAAGGCCTTAAACATTGCTAAATACATCTTTAAGAACTTACACTGCTACCCTTCCCTAGGATAAACACAAAGACCAGTATGAGTTGGAAAGAGGAACTTCCATTAGAGAGAAAAGAACATTTTGCTATATATTTCTATATGACACAGCAATTCCTCAAACATGATTTTGTGTTCAAAACAGTTAAGAACCAAGAAGCAAGCAACAAAGGCCACCAAGGAACTACAGCAGAGCCAGTGTCAATGCAAGAAAACACACTTTTAAAATACACAGCCCGAGGTCCTCACTCAGAGCCTATTCACTTTTATTTTAGACTGAATTCTAACACAACTGGCCACCTAGTTGCCCAGCAAGTCAGAGATAGCAAACTAGAAAGTGGAAAAGACAGAAAACTATTATATTGAGAACAGATGACCTAACAGGACAAAGGAGACGGAAATACCATTGAAAAGGGAAATTACAAAATCCTAGAACCAAAATTTAAAAAGCATAACTGGCAAGGTTTTATTTAAAATTGTAACAATCTTACAGAATTCAACTCTATGCATCCTACTTTAACAGTGCAACATTAATATTGTACCTTGTGTAGTGACTTGCATGGAAGATTGAACTTAAGCTCAAATAATGACCGAAAAGTGAGAGTTTTTAATCCTGGAGTTTCTCACTTGGTAGGCAGGCATCTATATTTTTCAACAAACCACAGGAAATTCTGAGGCACACCGAGAACTGAGAACCACTGTCCTAACAGTCTAAAGAAAGGTTACATTATACTCGATGTATTATTTAGAGGAAGAAGTAAGAATTTACTATGATCTTTAAATGTGCTCACTCAAACCTGTTTTTAAAACATTTGGGCATGTTGAGGTCAGGTGTAGTGTTCACCTTGGTCGAACACTGCATTTCCCAAAAGGAGGGAGGGAGCTAAATGACATATTACCAATAGCCAATCTATTCACCTTTGAAACCATAAAAATAAAAATGTAATACTAAATTTATGTAACGGCAAGTGAAGAAAATACTCAGTGTGGTACAGAACCATGGTAGAAACTCAATCAAGTTAAAGTTGTGTGGATAAACACATCTCACTAACTTAAGCTAGAGTCTGGGTACCAAACCTCTTTATGTAGTAGCATCTCCCAAACAAGATACACTCATACTCACCTTTCTGAAAAATCAGAGTCTATAAATTCTCTAGCCCGTTTTCTATCACTAAAAAGAAAAGAAAAAAAGGCATAAAAAGAACATATAAACACTACTTTATTTCATGAATAATTTACTGTAACTTGTCTAATGCCACTATATAGCTAAACATAAAAACTAATATAAAAGGTTTGTCCATAAAATAAAAACTTAAATTTTATGAAAGGACCAAGAAATCACAATAGGATAACCTAGTTTGAAATGAGTTCAATGAATCTTTAAGGAGGAAAACACTGCAGGTTCACAAAAGAAAAGGCACAGAGAAGTTTGATTTACTCTGGAAAGACTGACTATAAAGACACGACAGTCATACCACCTCCAACATAAAGCACAGCTGGGGCTGGAACTATCCAACCCTGGTCATCTCCAAACCCCTGGTATAGGCACGAGCTCATGTTATAATCTCTCAGGGCCGTGCAGAAATCCAAGGTAACTTTTGGATCTACATGAGAATGCTCACAAGGGCTGAATAAAGGCCATGGAATTACAGGTGACTGTCATGTCATCTCATTTGATAATGGAAAAGTATGACCACATATGAAACTCTTCTATCTCTAATATATGTGTGCGTAGGTGTTTGAATATGACTTAAAACACTTTGTCAGGACTATTTCATTAATTCATTTAATATTCTTTTTAAAAATATATTTTTTTATTGATTTTAGAGAGAGAGAGAGATAGAAACATCAATGATTAGAGAGAATCACTGATCAACTGCCTCCTGCAGGCCCCCCCTCACTGGGGATGGAGCCCAAACCCAGGCATGTGCCCAGACTGGGAATCGAACCGTGACCTCCTGGTTCATAGGTTGAAGCTTCAACCACTGAGCCACGCTTGCCAAGCTCATTTAATATTTTTGAAGGGAGGAAATTTTTACTCAACCAAGATTTACTGTCTGTTTGCTAGAACTCACAGTTGTAAATCAAAGATGGAACTACCCATGCAGTATTTAAATAACAATTTAAATAACTTCTAAAGTAACAGAATAAAGTTTTGAGTCATTAATTTTACTATTTCCTTTTATTTTATGGAAAGATGAGATGTTAAAATGATAAGCAAAGGAGAGAGGTTGGGTAAGGGTATTTTGCAGACAAAGATGAAACATGTGAAGGTTTGGTACTAAAAGTGGCAACTGAATAACATAGAATTTGGCCTCTTTTCCCTAGTTCCTTTTCTGATTTTTTTTAAGGAAACAAGAATTCATAGAGGAAATTCTCAGTATCACCAACACTTAAAATATCTTTTGTTAAAACAATATAAAATATAGTTTTGACATCTCCAAAGCAGCTAAATGCCATAATAATAAAAAATAGTTCTCTCTCAGAGTTAAAAAAAAAGTAAAAAGATTCAGGTACAAGTTATTATTATAATGTTTTTCTCTGTTTTAAAATGGTTGTTCCATAAATGGCTTATATCTAAGACATGAAGTCATATAAATTGGTAATTTTAAAGGAAACGTATTAGTTTTTAAGGACTAGACTAACATAACACAAGAACAGAAGACAAAATCCTAAGAAAAAAATGTCAGAACTTTTTAAATTTTATTTTTAAAATGGTAACTTGTAACAACACTCTTACCCTGGAACCCAGCCAGTAGCTTCCGCTATGTGTGTCTGAGTGACCATTGCTGGTGCTGGGGTGTATGGACTCCCAATCAGAACACTTCCTGAACTGGTCAGTCTCTGTGGTGTGCTTATAATCTGTGAAGTTCGAACAAAGAAGATAATATCCTTAGTTATTATGAAAAGCCTACAGGCACAAAATAATGTTGATTGCTAACCTTATTAGGAGGAATCTTATTGTCTAAAATGCTTAATCATCTAAAACATAAGCAGTACCTCTGATTCATTTATATCCTAGGATCGTATACTGACATGAGGTCATAATGCAGGTTTCAGCAAGTGAAGAGCAATTTGGAAGGATTAGCTGGCAACTGACAATGTTTTAAAAATCAGAAAAATGAAAAGCTTTCTTTGCAATTACAGAACCTAATTCCAGTCAAGCTTGATTTACTAGAACTGGGTAACAGTAAATCAGATCTTCACAGTCCAAAATATAGGCAAAAGCATTACACAATTTGGATTGTTATACAGATGCAACTTTATCTTTTTCTCTTTTTTTTCAAGAGCATGTTCTCATGTTATTAAATATTCTTTAATGACATATTCTTTAAATATGTCAGTAAAACATTCCATCATGTAAATATATTATTCCCTATTAGATATATGGATATTCAATTATTCACTACTATAAACAATGCTGTGATAAACATTTTTGTACAATGATCTTGGCCTTAATTTCTGTTTCCTAAGTATAGACTTCAGGAAAGGAATTAATGGAACTAAAGATACAGACTTTTTGTTTACTGCTTTTGTTTTTTTTAATTCTCACCCAAGGATATTTTTCCATTGATTTTTAGAAAGAGTGGAAGAGAGAGGGAAAGACAGGAGAAGCATATCGATTGGTTGCCACCTGCACAAGCCCCGACCAGGGGAGGTGCCTGCAACTGAGGTACATGCCCTTGACCGGAATCAAACCCAGGACCCTTTGGTCTGCTTTATCCACGGAGCCAAACTGGCTAGGGTGTTTATTGCTTTTTAGAAACATGTTTTTATTGATTTTAGAGAAAGAGGAAGGAGAGGAGAGAGAGAGAAACATTGTTGTGAGAGAGAAATATCGATTGGTTGCCTCCACAGGACTGGGGACTGAACCTGCAACCTGGGCATGTGCCCTGACCGGCAATTGAACCAGAGACCTTTCGGTGCATGGGCCAATGCTCAACCAACTGAGTCACACAGGCCCAGGCAGAATATGGACTTTTTAAAAAAAGTCCCTTGGGCCCTGGCCAGTGTGGCTCAGTTGGTTGGAGTTTCATCCCGTACACTGTAAGGTCACAGGTTCGATTCCTGGTCAGGGCAGACACTCAGGTTGCAGGTTTGATCCTGGTCAGGGTTCATATGGGAAACAACTGATTGATGTTTCTCTCTCACATTAATGTTCCTCACTCACTTTCTCCTTACCCCTTCCTCTCTCTTTAAAATCAATTTAAAAATAAATAAATAAATAAACACAAAAGACAATAAACAAGGATAAGATGTCTAGAGAATTCTGATTCTCTACAATAAGCCAAGGATGATCAAACAGGGCATTCAGAAGTTTGCCTTGTGTGAAAATATGAAAACTAGAAAATGTGTTTGGACCTCCTACCCCTCCATGTATCCCATCCCACCTCCACACCTCCATTTCAGTGCAAGATCTTCAAGGGCAGAGAGAATGTTTGCAGGGCCTAGCACAGTGCTCACAGGAAAGTGCAATAAATACTTACTGAACTGAGAGAAAAGACCCAGCTTTTAAAATGATAAAAAAAAGCTGGAACCAATTTGGCTCAGTGGATAGAGCGTCGGCCTGCGGACTGAAAGGTCCCAGGTTCAATTCTGGTCAAGGGCATGTACCTGGGTTGCGGACACATCCCCAGTAGGGGATGTGCAGGAGGCAGCTGATCGATGTTTCTCTCTCATCGATGTTTCTAACTCTCTATCTCTCTCCCTTCCTCTCTGTAAAAAATCAATAAAATATATTTAAAAAAATAAATAAATAAATAAATAAATAAATAAAATGATAAAAAAAAGTAGCTTCTTTATTCACTGATATACTACAAAGGATTATATAAAAATCCAATAAGAACAATACAATATAAAAGACAGTTTTCTCCAATCACTACATCACACATTCAAATGTCCTTTTTTATCATATTGTCACTGAGTGTGACAGCTTAAGGAGCAAAATTTGAGTATTTGATCAGTCTCGTCTACTCTTTCAAGAACAGGGGTGTCCAAAAAGCAATTCTATGTGTTCCAACCTACCCTTGAAACAGACTGTGCAGTTTTATTACTAAGGAGTTCTTTCTCTATATCTGTTATTAGTAGCCTACATGCTCGGTTTTATCTGATTTAAAGGGCTTTGTAGAAAGAAAAAGAAAGAAGGAAGGGAAACAAGCATAGGGAAACATGGTTATCATTACTGAGAATGACTTTGGAAATGAACTGCTATGTTCTAGTTTATTTTTTCTTCCTCTTTGTCAGATTGTCAGATATTTTCTTCTGATCTGAGAGTAAGTAGCAATACTCTGTTCCCTTCTCTTAGCAAAGGGCCTGATACACAGTAAGTCCTTAATAAACATTTCCTGAATGAACAAATTGGAGATGAAGGACTTGAACTGGAAAGACAAGTTAAAAGTTCATGTGAGATGCAATGAGTTCTTAAACTAGGACAGTGAGTCTTAAGAAACAAAACCAAAGGAAAGTCAACAGAACTAATCAACCATTAAACATAGGAAAACTATGTAGGTGATGAGTCAGACACACTTTATAAAACTGAACCTTAATTTTGAAATCCCAAATTAAAATGGAAGATAATTAGAGGTAACTACTTCTGATATTCAGTTGATCTGATAAGGAAAATGAATAAATTTCACCCCCCCCAAAAAAAAAACCAGAGACGACCTTAATTTAAATGTAATTGTGCTTTCTTTTGACAATAGATTACAGTTACGCAATGAAAATCATACAGCAATTGAACCTCATTCTAGAGATTTTCCGCCTCCAATCAATATATCTTATGTACTACTGCCATCTACAGTTAAGAAAGGCCAAGGGAACATCTACTTTGAAGGGGGAAAAAACTATATAATTATAAAATGTTATGTTAAATAATTCCATTTTTGTTGTTGTTAATCCTCACCCAAGGATATTTTTCCATTGACTTTTAGAGAGTGGAAGGGAGGGGGAGAGACAGAGAGAGAGAAACATCAATGAGAGAGATTCATCGATTGGTTGCCTCATGCACGCCCCCCAACCTGGGCTGGGGATGGAGCCTACAAACAAAGTATGTGTCCTTGAACAGAATCGAACTCGTGAACTGAACCTTCAGATTGCAGGTTGACACTCTATCCACTGAGCTAAACCGGCCAGGACAAGGATTCCATTATTTGACAAAATATTAGTTTTCAATATAAGAAACATGCAGTTTTAACCACATTAAAATAATCATGAGAGTATCTTATATATATAAGCAGAAACCTTTAGGAAAAGGGAAAGTATCCCAAAATAAAAGTTACTGCAAGTTTCTATAAATACTGAACAAAACTTTTTTTCTCAGGGCCTTTTGAAATTTCTACCTACCATTAAGATTTGGCTTCCATGAAATTTAAATTTTCTGTAAGAAGAAATTAGGTTTTATTCACTAATTCCTAACTAAACAAATATTTTTAAAAATCATGAATGAAAACTTGAAGGTAAAAGGACAATGTTCAAGAGAAGCAAGCAAGAGGAGAAGAAAGAAATGGCTCTAATTGGGGTTCTACATCAATTAGGAAATCAAAACAAAAACTCTGATTCTGGTCCAAGTCCTAAGAACTGCAAAAAGCCCCCGAGAATTAGGGAGACAAATAAAGGCCTTGGGCTGGCCTGGTTTAAAGCAGAGCCCCAGATCTCCTCTCCTTCGGACCTTTGTTTGCTGATTCTGCAGTAACTGGGTCAGTAGCATGCATACCTGATTGCTTACTGTCAGAACCGAAGTGTATAAAGACTGTCATGTACATTATACAAACTAACAATGGAAAGAGAAATTACATGTCTCCAAAAGAGAAACCTGAACTTAAGCCATAGCAGCATCACTAAAATACTAATAGAAAATAGCATCTCAAAACCAGAGGATTTCTGTAAGGGGAAAACAACATGCCATTGACTTTTATGGCAAACACATAAGAGTTCTGGTATGTTTGTTTAATTTTGGTGCTTATATTATCACATTTCAAAATACAGACTTTAAAGGCAGGTGTCTTATCTCACTTGTACCTACTGTAGTGGCTGGTGAGGGGCAAATGCTTAGCAAATGTTGGAAAATATACCCTGAACTACCTTGAATTGGGAACACTTACCTGAGCTCAAGTCTCTATGAAGTTTGTAGCTAGATCACATTCTTCACATAGTTATAGTAAATTGTGTAAGATCTTTGGCTTGGATTCTGTAGATAATTAACAGTCCTCAAGCGATCAGGAAAAATGTCATGTCTAGAATGTCTTAAAAATTGTAAAGACTTTCTGGAGCCATTAAGTATGTTAAAAGTTATTTTTGTCTAAACAATTTTGTGTTTAACCTATTCTACTGGGCTGTATACTATGGGCAAATTTTATCTTTGTTGCTCTACAGATGAGAACATGTAAGCACTGACAATGAAGAATTATTGTTGAAATGTTTATGCACTTTTGCTAAATAGTGCGTGAAGCCATTTAAATTAGGTATAGTTCTTTAAAATATGTTTTCATTGATTTTAGAGAAAGAGAAAGGGAGAGCGAGAGAGACATCGATTGGCTGTCTCCTGCATGTCCCTCCTGCTGGGGATTGAGCCCACAACCTGGGCTTGTGCCCTGACCAGGAATCAAATTGGTGACCTTTTGGTACCCGGGACAACACCAAACCAACTGAGCCACACTGGCTAGGGCAAATTTGGTATAGTTTTTAGAGTAGCATTTGGTATAGTTTTGTTTATAAATAAGGCTTTTTAAAAGTGCTATCTAGCCCTAGCCAGTTTGGCACAGTGGATGGAGCGTCAGCCTGCAGACTGAAAGGTCCCGGGTTCGATTCCAGTCAAGGGCACATCCCCCAATTGGGGGCTCCATCCCCAGTAGGGGGCATGCAGGAGGCAGCCTATCAATGATTCTCTCTCATCATTGATGTTTCTATCTCTCTCTCCCTCTCCATTCCTCTCTGAAATAAATAGAAATATGCTTTTAAAAAAAAGTGCTATCTACTTCAAGCTCTAACATCATTAATAAACTACTTACAGAGAAAGTTAAACATTTTTCATCCATTATTTCTATTAAAAATTTAAATGAATTGGCATGTTGTTTCCCCCCAAATGTCCTTTAATCAAAAATTTCAAATTAATACCTCCAGATAGAAATTAACTAATGGGTCACGTTCAATTTATATGAGTATATAGTTTAGGGTGGTAGAGATTATAAGAAATAACGGGAGGAGAACATAAAACATAACCAATTTTAAATCAATTTAACCAATGAGAAGCAAGAAAAGCCTCACACACAGAGCAAATCTTATTACACATTCAGAATCCAGAGTCAAATGTATGAAAATTAAAATTGAAGAGTGCCTCTCTTTTTCTCAAGATTTAATCAGTTACATTCAGATAAAAACAAAACTTTAAAAAGTGACTAAGAAATTAACTAGAATATGTGACCATCCATAGTTAGTAAATTTTCAAGTTCTAAGATTAGATGGTTTTCTTACCATTTGGGGTCCAACATTCACATTTATTGGTCCTAGGGTTTTTGGTAAAATCTTTGTTGGTGAGTTGGTGCTGGAAACTGGAAAAGCAACCAATGAAATGTTACCTGAAATGATATCAAAACACCGGGTTAGTGTTCTGCAATATTAAGGCCACCTTCTAACCCCATGGTCCTAATCCCAGTTTTGATTAAGTAATTTATAATTTAAATTATAAACAAGAAGGCTTACTTGCTTTGTTGTAGTGAATACAATTAGTTCTGCTGAATAGGAAATCTGTAAAATTAACAGTTCAGTCTATCTGCCAATTAACTACTGGATGTTTAGTTGGTTTTATGGAGGAAAAAATATTTAGAGAATATATAATGCAAAGCATCCTATATAATAAAAGGCTAATATGCAAATCAACCAAACGGCGGAATATCCAGTTGCTATGACACACACTGACCACCAGGGGCAGATGCACAAGCTGGGCTCATGGCTGGTGAGTGCAGTGGTGGTGGCGAGATGGATGTCCAGTTGGACATCCCCCAAGGGCTCCTGGACTGTGAGAGGGTGCAAGCAGGGCTGAGGGACACCACCCCCCCACCCCCCAAGTGCATGTACTTCGTGCACCGGGCCGCTAATAGTTAATATCAGAGTTGAGAAATTCAGTTGGATCTTTATTAGACGTAGAACAAAAAAAGAATAAAGTAAAAAAGAAAAAAAAAGTAGAAAGCATATTAGAATTTCTTTATAATATAAATATAAAATATTTATACTAAAAGTTAACATGATTTCAAAATATCAAGTTGGTAGTTTTTTTATGTTTCATTACAATAGAGAGAAAAAATATAATACTACCTAGGTTAAGAATGTTGGAAATTGAAGGATTTTCAAGTGATTTCAACACTTTAACCCTTTTCGGTCCAATTTTATTTTTGGAATTCAAACAGTCTGGTCCAAATTAATTGACGGAATTGAATGTTGAACCGGTTTGCGGTGTTGACCTCAGCCTTGACGGTGGACCTGCTCCTAGCACCTGGTCTGTTGAGTCAGCCTCCACGTTGGACCGAAAAAGGTTAAATTTTAAATTATGGCAGCGGTTCTCAACCTGTGGGTCACGACTCCTTTGGGGGTCGAACGACCCTTTCACAGGGGTCGCCTAAGACCATCGGAAAACACATATATAATTACATATTGTTTTTGTGATTAATCACTATGCTTTAATTATGTTCAATTTGTAACAATGAAAATACATCCTGCATATCAGATATTTACATTACGATTCATAACAGTAGCAAAATTACAGTTATGAAGTAGCAACGAAAATAATTTTATGGTTGGGGGTCACCACAACATGAGGAACTGTATTAAAGGGTCGCGGCATTAGGAAGGTTGAGAACCACTGAATTATGGTATCAGGGCATCGCCCCCCTGAGCCAACCAATAATCTTCTGAAATACCATATCAACTACTTAACTGCTCCAAACTTCAGTTTATCAATGTTTCTCCTAGAAAGCAGCAGTGTAATATGATGTAAGGAAGGAGATCACCCAGCAAGTATCTATGTGAAGGAGAGTCAAGCCTGAAACTCCGGGAAAAAACCAACATTTAAGAGCAGGGCTACAAAGACACTTCCTTCCTCAGCTCACTAAACTCCCTCATACTCCTTAATCCCCTTCTCTCACCTCCTGATTCTCACAGATACTCATGTCCCCTGCAGTAAGGATAACAGACCATCAGACTAACTGACAGCCCTTCTTCCTCAACCTGTGACCTATCTGCACCCTCACATACTTTTACTTTTGTCTTTCTGAGTGGAAATTCTCATATAAATTACTTCTTTCATGTCTGCTCTACACTTCTAGTCTCCTCAAGCATCTTAGTCATCAATTATGTACTCACTGTCGCCTGAGTTTTCAACTATACCATTGGCTCTGCCCCTTCAGTTTCCCTCTCTGCCCATTGGTTGGGTATCATTTTCCCTCGATATCCACATTTTAAAATGACATTATCTTTCTCATGTTCACTCAATAAAGCCTCAGACCCAAATCTGCTTCTCTTTCATGTTCTCAGTCTTGGTATACAACTGAGCATTGATCAACGTCCACCCAGAGACCCACTCCAGAAATAATCAACCCCCTCCTCAACCAACTGACCACCATATCTTACTTATCATTCCCTGGATCCTTTAATTGGTGGGCACTTCTTTAATTGAGAACTTTATCAAAGCTGGTTTGAATGCAGTTACCATGGTTCACAACTGTGACTGTGCAGTGGGACTGTCTGGGAAGCAATGCCTGGGTTCTACCCCCAGGGCTGTTGATATAATTGATATAGAGGCAACTTGGACACCAGACCGTTAAAAGTTCTCCAGATGGTTCCCAGCGCAGCCAGGGCTGAGCACCACTGTTCACGTCAAACAGCTTCCCTCCCCCTCCACACATCTACAACAAACCAGTCTTTCAACTGGTGAAACTGGTCTGGACACTCCCCTTCAACTTCAGACCTTCAAGGACCCCAGGACACTTCCTAAATGCCTCTCAGATTCCTCAACACGGCACAAAGCTCCTGGTCTCCAAACAGAAGCCTCCCTTCCCAGTTTTATTTTAGCGACTCCCCCCAAGCACCCCACACTCCAATCATGAAATACTCTGCAGTCCCGGAAAGGCCCAGCTTAACTCCCCCGGCTTTGGTGTACACCATTCCTTCAGCTGGGAAGTCTGTCTCTGATGGGACAACTACCTTCTAACACTTCAAAATGGGATTTCATACCGTGTCCTGAGTTACTACTGTGGGCCAGAGTCTACTCTAGAGGCTTCACGTATATACATCACCTCATTAATGCTCAGGACAACCGTGTGAAATACATTGCTACTGACTTCCTTTTACACATGAAGACAATGAGACAGAGTGAGGTTAAATGATTTGTACAAGGTCTCATAGCTGGTGAGGGCCATGGCTCCACCTCTCCAGCCTGTGCTCTGTGGCACCTCCTCCTTAAATGCTGTCCCTGCCGCTGTGGTCTAGGGCCTGGATCCCCTTCCTCTGGCTTTTCATAGAGCCTATTACCATTTACCAATTAGTTCTACTATAAGTGGGCTATGTCTCTCAGCTTCGCACCCTAGCATCTGGTTAGTCCCTGGTACAAAATCACTGTATGAATCTATAAAAACTGGTTAGCATAGATTGGAGCTATTACCTTTTCTAATCTGGATGCCATACTTCCTGTAATGTAGCCTACAGTGTATCTTTTCTTACTTTTTAACAGGTATCATAGCTTACACTAAGTTTGAAGTAAATTTGAATATCCAGTCCTGCCCGGCCAGCATCGCTCATAGGTTGAGCATCGACCTATGAACTAGAAAGTCACGGTCCAATTCTCGGTCAGGGCACATGCCCAAGTTGTGGGCTCAGTCACCAATAGGGGACATGCAGGAGGCAGATGATCAATGATTCCCTCATCACTGATGTTTCTCTCTCTCACTCTCCCTTCCTCCCTGAAATCAATAAAAATTTTTTTTAAAATAACATCCTATTAATTGCTAAAGATTAAGGTTATTATAAAAACTCTCTAGCCCTGACCAGTTTGGCTCAGTGGATAGAGCGTCGGCCTGCAGACTCAAGGGTCCCGGGTTCGATTCCTGTCAAGGGCATGTACTTTGGTTGCGGGCACATCCCCAGTGGGGAGTGTGCAGGAGGCAGCTGATCGATGTTTCTCTCTCATCGATGTTTCTAACTCTCTATCCCTCTCTCTTCCTCTCTGTAAAAAACCAATAAAATATTTAAAAAAATAATAAAATAAATAAATAAATAAAATAAAAACTCTCTGAATATGGTTATTCAATAGTTTAAGAATCTGCCAAACTGGAGAATAATCTATGATTCTAGGGGAAGAGCTATGTAACTGCCATAAACTCAGCCCTAGGCAAAAGCACACACCACAGATCCATGTGAAGAACAGCCTGGAAAAGTCTGGCTCTCAGATGGATTTTTAAAAATATATATTTTATTGATTTCAGAAAGGGGGAGAGAGAGAGAGAGAAAGAGAGAGAGAAACATCAATGATGAGAGAGAATCACTGACCAGCTGCCTCCTGCATGCCCCCTACTGGGGATCGAGCCCACAACCCAGGCATGTGCCCTGACCAGAATTGAACCTGGGACCCTTTAGTCCGCAGGTCAATGCTCTATCCACTGAGCCAAGCCAGCTAGGGCTCAGATAGATTTTTAAAATGATCTTAATACTGCTGAATGTTTAAGATGAGGTCATCTCTAATACACTGTTAGGAGCAAACACAAAAAACAGTAAAGCAACAAAAAAAGATAATTAGGGTTAGGAAACCACTTGACCCCAATTTTAACCCTAACACTAAAAAAAAATGAAGAATATAAAACATTGGTCAAAACCAAAAAGAGAAATATCATGTCAACTGATACCAAAAGAATTTAGAGGAAACTTAATAAAATTGATTCTAAAGTAGAAGAGGAAAGGCCAAGAATATTGAGTAGAACAGCCAAGAATACTGAAAAAAAAGGAATGGGGAAGAAGGGAATTTTAGCCTACCAGATTCCAAAATTATTACTTCGCTAAAGTGACTGAAATAATGTGACACTGGCTAAGAATCAGATAAATAGATTCACAAAAGAGAAATTAAAGTCCAGAAAGTACTTCATCTCTATATGAAAATTCTATATATGGTAAACGTAGCATTTCAAACCAATGAAGAAAGGATGGAATATTTTAGAAACACTTGTTGAAACAAAAAATTATCCATCTGACTAAACAAAACCTTATATTTCAATTTCTCATCTTGCACAAAAATAAATTCCAGAAAGATAAAATATTTAAATATGAAAATTAAAACCGTAAAAAAAAGGAAAAAGAAAAGTAAAGCCATAGAAGTATTAGAAGAAATAAAACTATTTTTTTAATAATTTGGGAATAACGAAGGTCCTTCCAAGCATGTTATAGAATTTAGAAATCTTAACTGAAAAGAGACTGACAGATTTGACTATCTAAAAATAAGTATTTTCTAAGTAACAACAGACCAAATATACTTAAAAGAGATCTCAGAGTTGGTAAACAATTCTGCAACACATAGATCACTGGATTACTATCCTTA